TTAGAAAGGAACACTGCCAACTCTTTGAAAGTTGGAATGTACATGTTTTATAACAGCCCAATTCCGGTAAAGCAGAGCTACACGTTCAGTATGGTCTTCAAGTGAACTTTCCTGACACCGGCGTCACTAAACTACTTTTTCCCATTCCACGGAATAGTTGAGTTCCTTCTCGTTCTTCCAATTCCGTTGTTAATGCAAAGTTAAGAAATGGAAGCTTCTTCCATTCGTAATATACTCGTCTCGCTGGCTGTTCAGTACATACAGAAACCACGCAGTGTCTTCCCTGACATTGAGGGTGCTGCTTTAACATTATGATTTCACCTGAATCCATTCAGTTAAAACTGTAAGAATCCAATACTCCGGCTTGTTTCTTTCCTGGTACTGCCTATTTATCCGTCAATATGAGAAGAAACCAGGAGCATGCGGCTGGAAGAGTACGTTCACTTCAATCCTATTTGTCCCAGCCTTTTACTCTCGAAACACAAATCAGTCACTTTGATTACAGGAGGTCTCCCAATCTAGGAATGGGGAATGGACATCAGAGACCTGTCCCTGGCATATTGTTTACTCAACATCGCTTGCGAGCCAGGATAGACAAGCACTCTATAACGAGCCGACAAGAGTATTCAACTGTCTTTGAACATGGCTAGCTTGCTCCACCAAAATAATCAGCCGGTCATATTCACATGACATCCTTCATGAAAATCCATATTAATGGGTGTGTCACACCACCGTTTTTTCAACGTCAGTCAGGAATTGTCTCAACGCCCCCTCATGGTTCTGATCCGGTCCTATGTTAGTCACCAGTAACGGCCGCATCGAATATTATAATACCTATCCCGGTATGAACCATTCGGCCATCCTATAGGAGAGAATACGTGCTTCGCTTTCATCAATGTCACGCCTAGAGAGGAAAGAGTCAAATAGTGAAGCCTGGTCTACCCGCTTTCGTCGGTTTTACCTGAGCACCACCCAAGATGGGCTTCTTCTACCTCCAGTTTGGTTACCTATTTGTTCCAATGGTACATGACCTCCTCACTACCTAGATAATTTACACTCTCACTGACACCTGGGCCCTCATACATAAGGAATGAAGCAAACACACTGGGCAACCAACACCCCTAGAAAACACGCCCTGGAATAGATGAGAACCGTGAAAACGCCGAGAAAAATTATTGCGGCAACATACCTAAGCGAAAGATCCAGCAATATCCCACCTAGTAACTGTATAGAGTGTAGAACGCATGCTGAATGTAGTGAAGAACATTTCTCACTGGAATTCTCACCGATGATGCTCCAGGCACCAAAATCTGGGTAGTAGAGCCACAGAACAGAAGCAGAGAAGAAACAATACAAACGGGCAGACCGTACAGACAGACCTATCTCTCAGCTAACCCCACGAACCAGTGAGCGAACACTACTCGCGCTTTCCAACTCTGTATCGCTAGGTCGTGCCGCCAACACCTTGTGGTGAATCATCGAGTCAACAACGGCCGGCGGTTTCGACCTATATGTTCCTAGGCTAGCCAGAACGGCCACTGCCACCACCGCCATCATGAGGAGCATCTGATATCTGAACGCGTCCGAGTACACTTTCTTGACCAAAACTTGCTGTTCGGGCTGAAGCATAAACACGGCCAGCGGGCTTCTATGAAGCTGGTCTAAAACGGTTGCAGGAAATCTACCAGCCTCTGTGGCAGGGCCTAAAGATCTCTGTAATATGTCGTTGAATATGATGGTGCAGATGCTCAGGCCTAGCGAGCCGCCAAGTACTCGCACCTGCGCAACGGCGCCTTGTGCAGCTGCTAGATCTCCATGGCGAGCCTCGATAGCCGCGATCATTGTACAGGCGGCGAAGCATAAGCCGACACCGAACCCGTATATGGCCGTGAACCCCAGTATATATCGGATATCACCTCGCTCTGTCGTGTTTGAAAACCGATATACAAGACCCAACCCAATCACCTGGAGAGAATTTCCGGATGTAAGAGTATGACTTGTGAGGTTCCGTTTCTTGGAGATGCTTCCGGCTAGAGTAGATCCGAAAGCACACGACCCCAACATCGGGAGGAGATGGATGCCGGCTCGAAGCGCGCTGTCGCCGTAGATGACCTGGAATCGCTCGGGGATTTTGATGACCAGGGAAATATAGACCAGACCCGTGAGAAATGTGACTCTGCAAATTCTAGTTAGTGCAAGTTGCGTAAGACGAGAGTATTGTCTTGATGAATCAGAAGCGGGGCGTGGGCCGAGACATACATGATCGTTGACAGATAAACGCGGCCTGTCGCCAACCGCACAGGGAATATCGGCTGGATGTGATGATTCTGCCCGTAGAACAGATAGGTTTCCCAGACCCCCAAAAGAATCCAGCTCAGCCCAGCTATCACCAAAGACCAGATGATGACCGGGCTAGACCACCTCCACACGTACGAGCCAGCTTCCTGTATGCCAAATACCAGCAGGATCGAAGCCACAATCAGGAGAAAGTTACCAACAAAGTCGATTTTGCGGATACCCGTCCATCCGTCGTATTGCCGTCGACGGTCGTCCGGCCAGAGTGAGTAAATACCTATGAGGGCGAGCGCGCCGCAAGGGACACTGTGACAAAACCTGGTTAGACAAGCGATAACCACCATTAGCTCGAGATGGAAGGGGGAAACCAACTTGATCCAGAAGATGCCCCTCCAAGTCCAACCAGCCGAGATCCCACCACCTAGTAACGGGCCCAGGACGTATGAGATGGAAAGAGTGATGCCGACCAGTGCGCCTACCATCTCGGGCTTACTGGGCCCTTGTTCAAGGAGACAAACCTGTGCCAAGCTATAAAGACCCGAGCCGCCAATCCCCTGAAGTGCTCGCGCTGCGATCCTATATGGTAAATAGGCTGTGTTAATGTTGAACCAACTTGGACGAATCGAATGACAATCTAGCGTACAGTTGTTTCATTGACCCGGCAAGGGCACACCAGACTGAAAATCCCGCAAAGAAAACCCATGCTATGGCGAGAAGGTTTCGTCGACCGTAGATGTCGCTCATTTTGGAGAAACCGACGGCAAAGCCTATGGTTTTCGCGTGATCAAAATCAGCAACGCTTTCATAACAGTATGCGCCCCGTTGTTGACAAGCATCGCAATAGCACAGACTTATGCTCGACGTAACCATGAAATGTTACTCACTCATGTATGTTAGAAGGTATCCTAGAATGGTCCAAGGAGCGTCTTGAGCATCCCCCAAATCCAGCGATATGGAAACCAAGGCAGTCGAAACGATGGAGGTATCCAGGCACGAAAACATTAGACCGGCGCATATGCTGTGGGTGAAGTAAAGTTAGCAAAGTTTAGATACAATGTGAACAGAGGTTGGTGCTAACGTGAATGTAAGAAGAACTCGGCGAACTGGTGATCTTGAACCGTGTTGAACTGTCTCCGAATGTTCCTCTTGTATTTGTTGGTGTTGTTGTTCACTCTTGTTGGAGACGGTTCGATCAGTCCTGTGAACCTCCTCGGTGATGTCTGAAAGGGAATGGACGTCATTATTCTCATTGCTGTCATGGCGATATGATGGCAGAGTCATGCTGGAAAATGTAGAAGGACCAAAGAGATGATCGTGCGAGATTATCTCTGCAACGAGAGTTAACGAAAAAGCAGGTTGGATGTACTCCTCTTCCGGGTCGTTCTGAATTTCTGGGCGATGGTGTTCGTTGGCTGGGTGAAGATCAGGGATAACAGTCAGTCATCCCGCGAGCCACAGATGATATCAAGTAGAAAGACTGCTTGGATGAGCGTCAAGCACTTGCAAATTTTCGGAATTTTTTTTTCCAGGTTTTCTTTTTTTTCTCTTCCCTCGATAGGAGGCGAAGTTCGCGTCTATGGTGTATGTATGATGTGCGTGTATGATGTCTTCCTCGACAAGGCAAGTTTGATATGCTCAGAGTAAAATCGTGGAAGGAGCAAGATAGCAGGAGCAGCCCGAAACAACCGACTGTGTGGAAACTCCGAGTTAGCATCTCCGTGTTAAAACTCAGCTCTTCCAGCTGTTCTAACATCTACCATGAATATTCCAGCCCAAGCGGTAGATCAAATATGAGCAGCCGGACACCACAGAAGGCTCGTAGTTATTGTACTGAGTCATCTTTGACCTGCAATATTACCATCGTTCTCTTGCGCCCTCATGTCGACAGGCATCACCAGTGCAAAGCCACCAAGCAGTGTAAAAACGGAAAAGCGTCTGAGACATACCTGGGTGTATGAGGACTTGGTTCAAGGTAGTAAAGAGTAAGATGATGATTTGGTGTGGTGTTGAAATTTGAACCACTTCACTTTCTCCGTCTTCCACTTTTGCCGTCGTCGCTTTGCCGAATCTGCCTGTGTTTAAAGAGAACTCATTCGAGGAAAGTTTGACAAATTACGAAGAGGAGTTACATTACAGAAGAAGAAAACGAGAAACGAAAAAAGCCGGCCGGTGCTCCCAACTGTTGGTTTCGCTTCGCATTCACCCTAGGCTGACTGAGTGACTGGACTGGCTCTCTTCAAGCCAGAAATGGCGGACCTCAAAGTCGTCACAAAACTGATACCCGGCCGATGACGGGTGTCGTGCAATGTATGACGGCACATGTATAGACAGGCTGGGGAAACCTCTCCTTTTTCCGTTTCTCTTAGATGCAACTTTCCTTATTGACTTTGCCCGATGTGGATGCAAACCGTAGAGGTTACCGCTCTGGCTCAGTCGGATTTTCCTGATTGATTGCCCTTTCCGAGTTGAAAAAAAAAAAAAAAAAAAAAAAAAAAAAAAAAAAAAACATTCACCGCACTTTTTTTCCATATAGGGTCCTACATCTACCCATTCAAATATACCTAGAGGTACCTACCTCTAGGCCTTGGTCCGCAGCTGGACTTTCCCAGGATTCTGTCAAGCTCTGACATCGAATTCCGCTTCCTATCACCACCCGCCCGCTGCCAGCACAACACAACCCGAGTCGCCACTTAACGGAACGACACCTAGAGACCCTTCACTTGGTGTTTCCCTCCACTCCTCTTCTCCCTTCCTCCTCCAGGCGCCCGAGTCACTGTAACATGAGGACTGTTTCCAAGTGCTACATGCTCAACTCACACCAAGTAGGACGACCAGCCGGCAACGGACTGGAATCTGGAATAGCAGCCAACAGACAGATGAGGGATAAGCGAGACACTTGTCTCTTTTCCGTGCAAATAGGGAAACGGGCGCCCAGGTTGTACGGCAGGCTGAGAAAGGACTAGTGAGGCAAAACATGATACCAAAGCGAGTAATGCGGGTCAATGTATGCCTCTTGAGGGAGGCAAGACGGACATGGACTGATCTGGTCGGATCGGTGGCTAACAACCCCCCTGACTTGCTGTGAGCGTGCGACCCAAGGTCTGCATGTCTTGCAGCGTCAAGAAACGGGCCAAGGCGGGTAACTGCAGGATTTGTGCGTATGATATGCAAAGAGCAAGCCTGGCGACGAAGCCGTTGAGCGGGACTGTGGGATGACGAGGGTGGAGAGCGGCCAGCGGAGGTTCAAAGGGGGGGTCAAACACGACGGTTCCGGCTCACTCAACCCAACTCAACTTAACTCAGCTCTCAAGCAAGGATGGATACCTCATTTGTCAGAGAAACTAGCTATAGCAATGTAAGTTCTCCAGTTGGACGCTCGCTCGACTGTACTACCACGGCACTTCCAGCCTAGGTAGCTTCATACACGCATTTATCTATGCGCGTACATTGGCCATCAGAAACATCCTCATCTCGATTGCGCTCCCCAGTTTCAGATGTAGGACACTGAGAGCACGACAACATAGACCTACCAGGGTCGCGGTTTGCGTCTGACAAACGAAAAAAAAAAAAAAAATCATTTCTATAACGAAGAAATTGATTCTACAGAACCATTTCACAACAGAAGGAACATGCTGCTAGACCCGCCAGAATCCAGAACATACATCATAAACCAAAATGGCTTGAAACCTCCCAAATCCAGCAGAAACCCCTTTCTCTACCGATCTACCTTTTTAGTGTTTTGCTCGCCCACGCAAACCTTCATGCTGTTTCCGTCTGGAACCTAGGCCAGACAACGTTGCACCTCTCCCCTTGTTCGCCTCGTCTTCTCTTCCTATCTCTCTTCCCCTCTTTTTCCATTCCTCACTCAGTCTCTTCTAAATCGGTCAAGGTGAGCACACTACTGAGACGTGTGTGGATCGATTTTTTTTTAGAAAAACAAAAATTTATAATTTTTTTTTTATATTTTTTTTAAGAAAAAAAAGATGTATGGTAAAAAGGGAAGCAAGGGCAGGCAAGTATGTACGGCAGTGTATGAAGCTGTTCAAGGTTCAGCCTAAAGGTATCGACGCTCTGCTACCTACCGCTGGCGTTGTCGTAAGTAGAGGTAGTCGCACAACCAAACACAAACCACAACGACACTACCCAATCTCGCATAGAAGGATGCGTTTTTGAATTCTTCCAATTTGGCACCTTAACCTCCCTAGTCCATTGCTTTTCAAGGTCACCTACATAGAGGTAGATATCTTCTTTCGTCTTCGGAGTGACTTCTCTTCCAGCCCTTCACACTTGCGCTTGAGAGGACTATTCTAGGGACCATCGGCTTAGGACTTACTTACATGCTTCCCTCACTCAGCAATTAACCACATGCTTCCCTCACTCAGCGATTAACCTGCCAAAACTATCAACCTAGGTAGAGGTGCTCGAACAAGAAGAACCAACTCTTCCTAGACTTGCTTTGACTCGTCCCCGAGTCTTCACGAACTATCTTTCTTTATTTCCCACCTTCTCCCTGAGTTCGCTCCCTTTTCTTGAGATCAGATTGTCGGGCAGGCAAGTCGCCAAGAAGCCACACAAATTTCACTCCTCACTCCTCACTCAGCAACATCAATACCCAACGGGCGTCTATACTTACACCCGTGCGTGCGTGCGTGCGTGCGTGCCTGAGTGAACCGAATCTCATGTCTCATCCTCTGATTAAAACATACATACATACTGCGTAGACGCGAAACGATGAAGTACCTAGGCCGGAGTGAGCAGCGGCCAGAGTCCAGCAGCCAGCGGCTGCAGTGTGGTGTGTGATGCACTGTTGGTCCCAGTTTCGTTGGTTCAGTCTTGCTTTTACCCCCGTCCGTTTTCATGTGTTAGGTCAGGTTGCCAGCAGAGTTGGACTGTCTGTGTGATGCAACTGAGTGAGTTCCGATCGATACACATCTCACTATGCTTGGCTCTGCAGTCCTCTCTGGCTTGAAGCCTACGTATTGTTGCCCTCTGGTCCTCCCACAGGTCTCGTCATGCCTTCCATCACAACAATTTTTTATATACTCGTGCCAGGACTAGAATCGTCTCCTGACCCAGCCTGACCGGCACTCTTTGCTCCAATTTTCCCTCCCCGCCCCTCTTTCTCACATGTAGGAATAAGCAAACTGTCATGCAACGTAGCCTCACAAACAGGTCCTCATGTTTGTATGTCAACTATAACAGAGGTCGGCGAGAGACGTTATAAACGATACGTGGAATGTATAGGTGTAGATTGTTGCTGAAAAAATGGGTATCGAAAAAATGTACATGAAACGAAAAAGGGATGATACATATAAGTAGCCTGGTAGCTCCACCCAAAAAGTTAATACAGACAACGGTAAGAAGACAAGGAGGAGGGGAAAAAAAAGTAACAAAAAAAAAAACATGGAACCGCCACCCCTCAAAGGCACTCGCTGAGCTTCACAGAACACCTTTTTCCGCCTCTCGCTCCACCGGCCAGCCGAGGCTTCCTCCTGGATATTTCAGTTCTCCCCGCTTACAATACCTCAAACTTTCCATCCATTTGGCATTCATCGAACCAACCCTTAACAACCGATCCGTCTCCTCGATCGAAACTCATTAGGTATTAATAAACCGTCAAAGATTTGACCAATATCGATAAAGTGGTATAGATATCTCTGTGTGATTGTGATCTTTTTTCGTGCCCGGTCGTTTGTTGCTTGCGCGCCGCCAACACCGTTCCCCATGAAACCATGAAAACCAAGGGCACATATAAAAGAAACAGCTTCCAGCAGAAAGCAGTTGGAAGGCCAAAAAAATATAAAAAAACCAACCACAAATGAAGGGTTTCAACGCCAGTCCATTCACTGCTGCCCGTCCGCCACCCCTTCAAACCCCTCCAAAATCTTCCTCGCCATATCGATTCTCCGCCTATACATCCTACTCTCCGCACTTGCCCTTCCATTCTCCGTCAATCCCAAAACGCACCTACCCAGACTGGCCACCAGTCTCTCGACAAGGTACTTATCCTCGCGCAAAAGAGCCTGCAGAGCCGCTGGGTTGTCAAGACTGTTGCTCGTCAACCTCGAATCCGCTCGCTGATTCTCCGTTTCCTGTTGCTGTTCGCACACACTCGCCGTCTCGCTCAGGAGCACGCTCGAAATACTCCTGAGCTCCTGATCTGGGGTCAAGTAAACAGTTTCGGGTGTCGAAACGGCGATGCTAACAGCCGGCACGACTGTGCTGGCGGTATTCCCTCTGTTGCGCTGCTTATTCGGCACCAGGGGAAAACTGCGATTTGTCCCGGCCGAGCCGATGGAGGATACAGATGGTCGGTGTTCGAGGTTATGCGTGCTGGCGACAGGGGAAATCGGACACCGGCGCACGGAGAGACTGCTGTTGCGGTTGTTGTTGTTAGGGTCGTGGTACTGCTGAGTGTCTGGACCACTACCTCCTTCGTGAACGGACTGGAATGATTCGCGGTGACTGCGGATCGTGCCGGTGCTGGAGCTTTTGATGTTGGATATTCTTGAGCCGTGGGCACGGCTGTCGACTCTGGTGTTGCCGGATCCAGCGCTGAAGGAGGCGCTCTTCCGTTTACTCGCACTCTCAAAATCTGGGGTGTACTCGTCCTCGTAGGGATACTCATCATATACCTCCTCGCTAATAGAATCGTCGGCTTCGTAGTATCTCCTGGGGCGCCCTTCCTGTGCTGTCCGGAAAGTTTCAATTGTCGAGATTGAGTTGACGCTGCCCCGCCTGCTTCGACTGTGGAAGTTGATGCTCCTACTATCACTACCACCGCTGTTCATGCGCGTGTTTTCGTCGGTAATCGGGCCGCGGGTGGTTTCAACCGAATCTTCCGACGTGTAACTGGTTTCACTCCCTCGCCTGTCCATATGTTGTTGGCTTAGAGCACCCATGGCGCTGTGTAGGAAGAAGTGCTCGTAGTCGAATGCATCCTCGCGGTCTTCATGCGAGATTTGGTGCTGAACCGTATCGTGATAGAGCGATTCGCCACCAATGCTCATCTGATCGTCGTCGAGCTCTTGCGCATCCTCGAATTCCTCGTCCCCATTTTCGGTAAATGCATCAAAGTTGTCCTCTTCCTGAGACATGTGCGTGCCCGCAGTTGCCGAGACCGGCTCGGGGAAATGGTCAATGGCTGACTCGAAGCTCCCTGAAACATCGCCCTCCTCGTACGAATCGTCTTCACTATCTAAATTTCCTCGCAGATGTCCATAGCTCCCTGGGTGCTCCCCGTCAAGACTCGAGTCCTGTTCGCCGTTCCATGGGTTCCTTTGCAAAGATTCAGGCGTGAAGATTTCAGAGTTTCTAGCTGAAGGCGTCTCTGTGAACCACTGATCGACTTGAGCATGAGTAAACGGGCTAGGCGTCCTAAGGCTTTGTACGCTCCGTCGCTTAATGCTGTCAACCCGAGCCTGTTCCCGTAGACTAGATATTTTACCCTTTAGATCTTTCATCTGGTCCTTGATATCTCGCATTTGACTCGTGGGAGCAGGTGTAGAATGTATATCCCTCGAGCTTCCGCTGCTATGGTCGCTACCGTAAGCTGTCCCATGGTAGGAATGAATGGGACTCTCGTCGTCATCCGGGGCGGTGCCATCCGGCCTCAAGGTTTTCCCTGTCAATATGTTGTACGTCTGGCGGTGGGCATCGTCTTCCCACCCTCCTCGGATGGCCTCCGCGCTTTTCGATGCCGTTATAGACTGCCTGGGATTTCCTCCGTGAGAACCCATGGCACTGTGCGACCTCTGGACGGATATCCGATATGGCAACCCATTCCGCATCGCGATATCGCTAGTCATTCGCGTATGACCAGAGTAGTTGGCCGACGATGAGCGGTACCCGCCGTTCCGGCTGTTGGCAGATGCCGTTCGCTGAGGGGGTGAGGGTGTGCCATCGGATGAAAGAGAGGGAGCAGTATAGTGAAGCGAGCTCCGTGCGCGACTCAAGTTACCCTCCATAGTCTAGTCGGGATAAAGTTAGTTCAATCATGCAATGTACGGGACAAAGTTACACGCAGTGACGTACGGTTAACCTCTTCTTCGCATTGGCCAGAATCTGCTCTGCTCTTCGGCTCAAGGCAGTCGTCGAGTAAGTAGACAACCTGTCACCGTTTTCACCACCCACAACTCCCAGAAGATTCCGATCTCGGGGTATCGTTCCCTCAACATACGAGGAAGCCATGCTTTCCTCGTCATCACCCTGAAAAACACTATCATCTACACTAGCCGCATCATCAATGTTGATGTCGGCAAGGAAAGCTGGCCGGTCCTCCATGGTTATGGTTGTGATTGTGCTGGTGCTCTCGGTGCTCATTCTCCTCTCTTTTTGCGCGGTCAAACTGGGCTTCAGTCTCTTGGCCAATCCTGACTGACCCATCACGGGTGAAGCTGACCGCAGCACAGCATCGATACTGTCGTTCCTCCTATGCATAGCCGGGCCTCTGTGGCGGGTTGGCGAGGGCCGCCCAGGAGTGCTCTCCACCTCGGTCACTTCCCCGATATCCGAGAGGATGGTGCCATTCCCATATATTATGGGCGTGGTCGGCGTCAATGGTGCTGAGGACCCGTATGTGTTTTGCTGGTTGTATCCCATTTGCGCCGAGTTGACGGCAAACATCTTGTGTAAGTCCGAAGTGGCCGTCACAGCAGCCTGGGCGCTCCTCCACATCATAAACTTGGACCGGATGCGGGCGTCTATCTCGGAGTCGGGGGAGTTGCCGTGGCCGTAGTACGGGTCGTCGGGCAATATCATGTCCGGGTTCGAGAGCGTGGGTGACGCCGGAACAGACGATGAAGGAGAGGTCTGAGACTGTAGCTGTGGTCGTTGTTGTTGTTGTTGAAGCCCACGACCGGGGGTGGTGTGAAGGTTCGCCGTTTCCATGGCGGCCGATCGAGCTGTTATAGCGGCCATGGCGTACAGCTAGCTGGTCGGAGATCCGATGCTGCAGGTGCTGTGCGTTTAGAGCGCTGCTACTGCAAGCGACACCTAATAGCCTGGGTCCAACGGCAGCACCTCCACTAGGTTCTGGGCCGTCGAAAATGTCAAGATCCACCTCCACAAGAACGGCGCATGCACGGGGCACGCCCACGTCACTCTGGAATCTCTCAAGCAATCAATGGTTCCTCCGGACTGTTTGTTGACTTGATCACGTCTCAAACGCTTCTTTTCGGTTTGGTCACTTTTTGGTCTCTCCGGAGCTTCCCGTGTGTTGTGGCTGCTCGCGTGTGTCGTGCGGGAAAGCCGGGTGCGGTGCAGGCGCAACGCAACGCAGGCGCACTAGAGGTAAGTATGGGTAGGTCTGTTTGTTTGGCGAAAAACAGACCCGTTCTTTCCTTTTCTTTGGTCGATTTGGTGATTTGTTGTGTTTGCCCACGCGGTAAAGGGCAGGGGGGAAGCGGAGAGGCGTCGCCGAGTGCGTCGAAGAGATCTGTAAAGGTACCTACCTCTAGGTAGGTAGGTAGGTACGTCTGAAGGCGTACAAGACAAAGGGAAATTCCAGCTCTTCAGTTGACTCTTGTCTTCAGTTTACCCAAACAGGCAATCGACATCAACGTCAACCGGCAAGGCACTCCACGATGACTGAGGGAATGGATCAATCGGTGATTCGGTGTTCGAAGTCGACATTGGGCGTCCGTCAAAAGTGAGCCATCCTGTGACGACTGCGTGAGTGAGATCGTTGTTCAAGAAAGGGTCGCGCGTAGGAAGGTAAATTGGATCAAGGACAAGGACAACAACGGAGCGGATGCCCGGACTTTGCAAGTGCCACCAGCCCGGATAGGTCTTTTCGCGCTCGACAAAAAAAAAAAAAAAAAGGCAATAACTGAACGTTTGCAGCTTGAGCAAATCGATAGGAAGAGATTGGACTTTGCAAAGTCCTCTCTTCACATCCATATGGAAGAAACTCGACACGGCACCTCCCCTAGCCAGCACAAAATGGTTAGCCTCTCTTCTCCCTTCTGGACCGCACTTCCTTTGGGCTCTCTCTCATGGGAGATTGCATTGCCGGCGGGAACCACTCTTTGACTTTCAACACTCTCGAAATGGCAAGGATAGGGGCTAGTACAGGGATTCATTCGACGGAGGAACCGGGGGGGTCTGAAGAAAACGTGGGCGGCCCCTTCCAACAACCCCGGCCACAAAGTCAATCCAGTCGGATTCATCGAGTACCTGAATGCCCAGCACATTGACCGTGGGCGCCGTGACATCCTCCGTGGGGCTAATAATTTATAGAGGGGAGAGAGGGGGGGGGAGGCACTCGGGTAAGAATTTCACACCTTAGCACTCGTCGGTATGAACCGACCAACCAGAAGAAAGCATGGAACCGTGGGATTCGGCCATATTGGTGCACCACCCGTCACCCAATCGTCACCATCAATGGGATACATAGTAAGTTGGGTACTTAGGAAGGAGAAGGAAAAGGAAAAGGAAGGCAAAGAAGAGCGAGCGAGTCGTCAAGAACCACTGCCCTAGGCACTATGGCCAACAACTTGATACAATTGCCAGTTGAGCTGCAGTCAGTAAAGACCTAGAAGGAAATCACTTGCTGGCTCAAGCCAGGGGCACTGCTATGAAGCCAGGCCCAAATTCCTCTTTCTCGATCGATCATCGCCACGTCTTTCGTCCACCGGGTCCGTCCCCTTGACCGCGATGTCGAATTGCACAACATCAAGCAGTACTTCCACATACCAGCCGGCGATTCTCTCTCTTCGTATCAAACGATAACATCATCCATGCCATCGGAATGCCGTGGGCGCTGACCCGTGCTTGTACGTAGGTCAAGTTGATTGAAGTGGAGTCAGACCATACAAGGAGTTCACAGATGAACACCTTCGACAACACCATCACCAACGACTCGGCACCCAATTCGCTACCTAAGTATCTCTTGCAAAACAGCGCTTCGGCACGATCCCGTTCTGCCGTCTGTCTGCGCCTAGGCCCCGAAGGGTCGGGCTTCCGTTAGCGTCCTGTATGCAAGTACGCAAAGGGGCTGCCGTTGAAGACACCCGAGACACGCTTCGTGACTACGAGAGGACAAAAAACCGGTGCGAACAGGCATGGTAGAAGATGCAAATCATAGCCGACAATCAGTACCATGGTATCCTGTCCATGCCCAGAGAAAGCGACGTTTGCCCTTTTAGGCCGCCTCCAGGCCCCAGGGAGAAAAGTCTCCGAACATGAACAAGCACTGGACCCGGCATGGATCAAAGCGGTGGTCCCCGATTCCACGGCAAAGCATGCATGCCCTGCCCAAGCCCTCCAGATAATGATCGCTCCGTCGCAATGCCATGAAAAAGACACGCTCTTTTGTCCTGTCTTATGCGCTTGCGGGCGATGCACAACAGCACGGGATGGATCCGTTGAAGCCATGGATCAGGGGTTCACGCCCTTTGGCTCACTCCCACTCTTGAGTCACTCCGGTCACGATTGAGCTGAAAAACCGACCAAACTCCCAAAGAAGAACAACAGGAAGATCGTTTCGGCCCTGCCTACCCGCTAAAAAAAAAGATCGACCAAAGGAAGTGTTCATGCCAATTTCCAGAATTTCAAGTTATTTCCATTGTGCCCCGGGCCACTGCGAGCAGTGCCATGGACTCAATACGGATACTCAGGTATATCATTGCTCGAGACTCAACAATGGTAAATTAATTCAATGCTAACAAGGTTGCCACAAATCGACCCGCGAGTCAAACCCAATCCACCCACTGAGGGCAAGACAATACTAACGACCCCGTGGCATAATCTTTGGTTGTCGACGCCATTATTCTCTTTGTGTGTTCGAAGGATTCGTAGGTGACGAGTTGTCAGACGACGCTGGAAGTCAATAGCAAGGCGAGGCTCAAGTAACGAGATGGACGCAGTGAAGTATTGTTTGTCCTCAAATGGGTCCTCATTGATTAACGCCCACTAACGCTTCAGACGCTAGATGCCTCAAAATTTAATGGCATCATCCTCATCCATGATCAAACCCCATAGAGCTCCATACATTTTCTTTTTCTTTGCCTGTCCTACAGAGACCTCTCTGTCTCCTCCACTGCCGAGCCAATGGCCAATTACCGGCGTCTAAGGATATAGGATAGGAAACGAAAAGATGTTGAAGTTCTTTTGTTTTCCCCTGAACGCCGATGCTGTATTCCTCAAATGTTCGTCACCCTTCGGGTATCGCAAAACGTCATGAATTGGGCCTTCCTGGCTCATGCAAGTCTTTGTTGAAAGACACCTACCACCCACCGGTCTGACCCCCTCTTTATGAAAGGTGTTTGTATTCATAAACTCCCGAGGCAAACAAGACCACATGAAACACGTTGGATATGTCTAAACCCAACCGTACGCCCATTGTAAATGCCAAAATGAAAAGAATCTAAAAAAGATAGCCAACAAATTCACGAGACTATATCAGCAGGGGCAACCGAGCCACCTGCGAGAATGATTGTCCCAGTTTAGAACTTGAGAGCCTTGGGCTTCTCCCAGCTGAAGGACTGGTTGGTACCAAAGTGGCCGTTCTTGGCAGTCTGGAGGTAGATGGGCTTGGCAAGATCGAGCTCCTTGACAATGACACCGGGGCGGAGATCGAAGTTGTTGCGGATGATCTGGACGAGCTCCTCAGAGGTCTTGTCAGAGGTGCCGTAGGTATCGACGTAGATGGAGAGGGGCTCAGCGACACCGATAGCGTAGGAGAGCTGAACAAGGGCACGGCGGGCAAGACCAGCGGCAACGAGAGACTTGGCGATCCAGCGGCCGACGTAGGCAGCGGAACGATCGACCTTGGAGAAGTCCTTGCCGGAGAAGGCACCACCACCGTGGGCACCCCAGCCACCATAGGTGTCGACGATGATCTTACGGCCAGTAAGACCGGCATCACCCTGGGGACCACCGATGACGAAGAGACCGGAAGGCTGGATCTGTAGTAGAAATAACGTGTCAATGATGCCGCCAAAGTAGGTGAAATTGACAGGTTTTGGACTTACGTGGTAGACGGTCTTCTCATCGAGATACTTGGCGGGGATGGTGGTCTTGATGATCTTCTCAAGGATCTCCTTGCGGAGCTCCTCAGTGGTGATCTCGGGAGCGTGCTGAGCGGAGACGACGACGGTGTCGACGCGGAGGGGAACGACGGCACCGTTGTCGTGCTTGTACTCGATAGTGACCTGAGTCTTGGTGTCGGGGCGGAGCCAGGGGAGGGAGCCGTCACGGCGGGCAGCGGACATGGCGGCGTTGAGCTTGTGGGCGAAGAGGAGAGTCAAGGGGAAGAGCTCGGGGGTCTCGTCGGTGGCATAGCCGAACATGATACCCTGATCACCGGCACCGAGGTTCTCGAGACGGTCGTCAAGGTGAAGACCCTGAGCGATATCGGGGGACTGCTCCTCAATGGCAACGAGGAGGTTGCAGGTCTTGTAGTCGAAGCCCTTGGAGGAGTCATCGTAGCCAATGTCCTTGATGGCGTTGCGGACAACCTTCTGGTAGTCGAGCTTGGCCTTGGTGGTAATCTCACCGAAGACCATGATCATACCAGTCTTGGTGGCGGTCTCGCAAGCAACCTTGGAGAGAGGGTCCTCGGCCAAGCAGGCATCGAGAATGGCATCGGAAACCTGATCGGCGATCTTGTCGGGGTGACCCTCACCGACGGACTCGGACTGTACAGGTCGGATCAGCGAGTGTTTCGGCCATGGGCATATGCAGAGTGTCGGCGCAGACTTACGGTGAAGAGGAAGGTTCCCTCGTTGTAGTGCTTCGCACCGTTAACACCGTTGGTGGCCATTGTGTCTGATGTGGTTTCTGGGAGGAGTTAGCAATGTGCGCGCACAAAAGGCCAAGCACTGAACGAGTATGACTCGAAGAGAAAGGGGTTGAAGAGACAATTGGGTGGATGTGAAGCTTGGAAGTGCAAGAGGACACGGTTGACCAACTAATCACCCGGGCGCAAGGCGATGTACGGTATAGGAAGTTCGGGATGGCAGAGAGAGAAGAGAGGTGGTGAAGACTCCAATCGCAAGACACTTTGCTCGTTGAAGCCAAATGGTGCTTGGACCAAGGAGCCTGCACAATGGAGCTGCGATTGCCTTGTCCAGGATGCAGAATGACGCCTCAAAACTTTTTTCTTTTTGGAGGACACAAGTTCGACACGTGGGGAGAGGGCTCTTGGGTTGGGATTGTTGGGGTTCGTCTTGACTGGAAGTGACTCACCTTCTGGTTGCGACGAAGCAAAAGACAGAGGAAGCAGAACCTACAAGAGGGAATGAAGTTAAGAAGAGGAGGAAAGAGATTGAGGGCTAGGAAGGAGCGGAGTTTATGTGAAAGAAAACGGGGGAGGTGGGTGTGGGAGTATTTGAGGAATTTTGCATCCAGTCGCGGACCCTGATGGAAAGGAGGCCGGGTTTCGGGCGCCAGAGACGGGATGGCGGGGTAACGAGAAACTTTCAATTCCGAATTGGTGTACAAAATAACAAATTCTGCCAGGGCTACTAAGGAAGAAACATGTACGAGCTGGGCGGGGCTCCCCTACGATGGCGAATTATGCGCGGGGATCACGGCAAGAAGAACGGACCATCTCCATTTTACGCTTTCACGTGGAGGCGTCTAACGTCTACGTCTGGCCATGATCAAGTGGCAGCAGGAGAGCGGGCAGAACGAATGGATCATTGATCTTAGACTCTGGCATATCAGGCTGGTGAACCCAAGTGCACTCTATAGGTAGACGTCCGATATCGTGAACATGATCCAGCCGTCGGATAGAGATAACCTCGAGATCGTTCTTTCTGTCGGAGTGCAGGAACTCGATCTCATCTGAAGTTCTTCAAACAACATCTGCAGCGGCACGCAACCGCCCAGCGGCCGACGGTTCGGCCGACACCACATATTTTGTAGCGTGCCCCGGCCGGGTATGGTGTAGTGTACATAACCTGTCAAAAGTCTGGATGTGACATTGGACCCGCTTTTTGAGAGAAGGAGAAATTGCGCAATCGCAGCCCTCTCTGGTCGTCCAACAAGTGGAAGGATGGTGCCTTTTGGGTACCTTTGTTTGCCCTGCCAGCTCTGCCCGCGCATCGCTCTCGTGGAAGCACACCGCATTTGACGCCATTCGTTGACATGATGTGACCCCAGTGGGGCACCTAGATAGTGTACAATAGTGTAGATGCCGCAAAAAAATTATCAAGGCGCGTTTACACCGGCAGGCATATCTCGTGGCAATCGTGCCTGCAGCAGCGGCAACGCTATCAGTATCCGTATCAGAAGCAGAAAGTTTGGCGATCGAGTCCGGGTATCGAGGCAACCTTTTCGTCACCAGTCGCATCATTTCGCATTGACGGGATTTTCCTTGTCACACCTACACAGCACACTGCATCCGTTCCGAGCCCGAATAGACATCAACGACAATCCCACAAAGCTTCGTTCACACACCCAAGATCCAGGTATCCAATCCTTTCGCCAGATCACCCCGCCGTATCACCGTCGCGCATCCGTCCAGTTGGGCTGCAGCTCAGAGTTGACAAGCAACTTCTCCCCACCATCCACATACGCACATCCTAGACGTCGGAGCATCATCGCAGCCATGAGCAAGTACGGCGTGATGGTGATGGGCCCCGCGGGGGCGGGAAAGGTAGGCTAGGCTCTAGTGAACGGCAATTCCCCGTCTGCGCTTTCCGCTGGTTCTCTAACGGCTCGGTGTGCCAGTCCACCTTTTGCGCATCGCTCATCACACATCTTCAACTTAACCGGCGCTCTGCTTTCTACGTGAACCTCGATCCCGCCGCCGAATCATTCGAACACACGCCCGATCTCGACATCAAGGACCTGATATCTCTAGAAGATGTGATGGACGAGATGAAGCTCGGCCCCAACGGCGGCCTGATCTACTGCTTCGAGTTCCTCATGGAGAACCTCGACTTCCTGACCGAGGCGCTGGACTCGCTGACCGAGGAGTACCTCATTATCTTTGATATGCCGGGTCAAATTGAGCTTTACACGCATATTCCAATCCTTCCTACCCTTGTCAAGTTCCTCACAACACCCGGCGCCCTGGACATTCGATTGTGCGCCGCATACCTGCTGGAAGCTACCTTTGTCGTCGATCGTGCCAAATACTTTGCAGGTTCCCTGAGCGCCATGAGCGCCATGATCATGCTGGAAGTCCCACATATCAACATTCTCAGCAAGATGGATCTGGTCAAGAACCAAGTGAGGAAGAAGGACCTCAAGAAGTTTATAACCCCGGATACCTCGTTGTTGCTTGACGATCCAGCGGACCTTGCCAGGAGGAAGGCCGGCGAGGACACCTCGGATGACCAGTACGCCGATCCCCAGGATAAGAACGCCATGCTGTCTGGCGCGACGTTCAAGCGCCTCAACACAGCTGTCGCGCAACTGCTTGAAACCTTCAGCATGGTCAGCTACCTCAAGCTGGATTCCACCGACGAGGACAGTGTTGGGGCAATTCTGAGCTACATTGATGACTGCATACAATACCACGAAGCACAAGAACCACGGGAGCTGAAGGACGAAGAGTTTGACGAGCCTGAGGAATAGTTGGGAAGAGGAATGATTCGCAGCTTGGGAAAAAAAAGAGTCTCCAGACTTTGACTGAATTACGTATGGATTCGTCATTACCATATGGGCAAAATGTATAGGGATTCTGCATAGCGACGGCGTCGGGGAAGAAGATACAAGTTTGGCTCACCGAAAAAGAATGGGATGGGGTACGGAAGCAAAGCAATAATGATCTATATGTTCTTTTCCCACTTGACTACCAAAAGCCCTTAAAACAGTATTCCCAACGCAAGGTCACCGCCTGTAACATTCATGCCCTCAATCCTTCGCACCTCCAAGGTCGCAGATCTCGAACATTGCCTGACAGGAAACGCCGTAACGCCATGGGATATGCGGTATTCCAACAGCCAGCCACCCTCCAACTTTTATCGTCGTATCATCGTAATTTAGTCCGTAAAGCCAAAAAAAAATAAAAAAATCCACCCCGTACTCTCCACCGCGAAGCATCGATTCCCAATTTCTCCTTTTCAAGAGTGATCATCGTCTTCATAGTCATCATCCAAGATATCTCCACCATCAGTTTGATCTTCCATCGCTGCCTGCCCTTTGCGCTTCACCCTGACGCCCTCCCCTTATCCACCCTTGCCTCTTCCTTGCTATCCAACAACATATCTCCCGCTTCTCCTCGTTAAGCACGATCATACTTAGCATGACCCCTTGCCTTATCCTGCGCCTCGTACCTCTGCCACTCGGTCATGAAGAAATTCCAAATGCCCAGTCCATACCCGCTCGCCCTGCCCAGCCAGAACGTCGCATCCCTCGCGCTCTGCTCCACTCCGCGCCTGTACACCCAGCTCGCGACCGCCGCCACGCCCGCCCAGAACACCAGCGTGAACGCAAGCCTGGTGAAAAACATGAGCACCCGTCGCATCCAGCTCAGAACCTGCAGCACCATGACCAGCAGCAACAGCACGCCGGCGAGAATGACAACGTCGGGGGAGGCGTAGATGTATGCCGTTAGCCGCTCGACAAGCGGCTGCATGATCGGGATGAGAGTGGAGATGAAGGCTTCGATTGTTGACATTATGTGCCGCTTAAGAGATTGGATGGCGGAGTCGGGCGAGAGGAGGTTCTGACGGGCGAGGGAGAGGTAGGGGTCAGGAAGGACGCCTATGATGAGAAGAAGAAAAGAGGATGGTGGGTTAGCGGGACGGGATGCGTTACAGAAAGAGGGAGGAAGGTGACGGGTTTTATGATCCGGTAAAAGCGAAAGATGCCCACGTCAAGTGAATCGCAACGTGGCGCTTTGGGCTCTTTTGCATTCTTTTGGGCTGGCATGCTGGTGAAGACTGGGGAAGTTCGGGGAGTGCGACAGGTTGGCGCAAGACTTACCAGTAAGAAGCTGGAGAGCCCATTCGATGGGGAGGTTGAACGGATCCATAGTGTTTGACGATGATCTTGCCGTGGCCTGTAGAGATTGGTGGGTAGTCGCGCGACACAAGGAGGTCTTATATAAAATTCTGGTGAGGAAGCAAGCGAAGATGTGAAATGCGATTTGCGATTGCGGTATCTGTTGTGTTGTTTTGGAAGGGAAACGTGGTGGGGTAGTTGTGGTGCGAAGTGAAAAAGAACCAGTGGAGCGACGGCGATGTTAGCGATTCCGTGGAGGCGGGGGGCTTTATCTTATCAACTGACCAGGCAACGGAGTGTGGGGCTTGGGTCACCGTTTGGGTTGTTCTCACCCTCTTCTTGTCATCTCTCACCAGGCTGCCCGAGATGGCGGCAACAGCGTTTGAAGCCCAACTGACAATGAAGGTACCCTTCACTCCCGGTGGGGCTTGGATACTACGTGTACACCTCTAATGGGAGCATTGCAGCTGTAGGAGAACCTTTAAACCTAGTTGTGGCCTTCCTCGCTCAGCTCTTCGAGGTGGCTTGTGACGGAATGTAATTCCGATGGTTTTCCTTATTCGATCTAGGTTGTACGCTCTTTGGGGTAGACGGGAGAGGCACTTAGCAGTTCTCACATTGCATGAACCGCAGCCTGGTAAAGCAGTAACGATACAAAGCAGCCGCATTGGTCTCTTAGTTGAAAATCAATGACCACCATCTCTAGTAACCGTCTACTATAAGTACTTCGTCATGACCCCCGTCCATTTTCTGCGTCTCATTAATGACTTCGTCGTGGGGAACTTTCTGCTCTAATCGATCTTAATACGACGTGTTATAGGCCTCTAGAATCTGAATCTGTGAGACAGCCCATATCAGCTTGTCAAGTTCAGTGAGCCATCTGGCCATTTATTATTATTCTCTAATGTACAGTAAAAGTCCATAGACTATCAAAACTCCCGTTTGGGATCAGACGCTAACAACCTCAGCAGCGATTCCCCATCTCAATCATTGAATCACATGTTTGACAAGCAAGTCTTGCGCTACGAGACCGTGATAAAGACGCGGGCCAGTTCAAATCCCGCTCAAACATCGTCCACGATATCATTAACCTCAGAGTCGAGTCACAGCTGCTCATGCCTGTTGTTGACATCGTTGCATGACCTCTCTACCCCTGAAACCGCCCCTGACATAAATCCAACTCTTCACCTCGGGGTACTCTCCTGATCTGGCAGCTGGACGGTAAAGGATGCCGAATTTCCCTTATTGCGCCTTCTTCGCGTTCCTGCTCTCCCGGAACTTGGCAATCTCAACCGCCACAGCCTTGTCCACACGCGTCTTGAGCTCCGGGCGGTAACCCAGCATGAACAAGAGTTCAAGCCAGACGAACAGCGGAGCGAGGAAGATGGCCTGGAAGAGGTTGTCCAGGAGGGCAGGGGCACGGCCCTCAAATTTGCCGTGGCCGAGGAACTGCGCCAGCCAGCTCACAATGTGAACGACAATGGCAACCTTGGTGGTCAAGACTGGGTCGGCAATGCGGAGATAGTTGGTGAATGCGCAAGCACCGAGGCAGATGAGCGCCAATGCGGTGCCGGCGACCGGCTCGAGGAGAACGTATAGTCCGCCCCATGTCAGAGCTGCAAAGGTGCCCAGGTTTGGCTCTAGGTAGGGTACCTGGAGCCAGGAGGGGAGTGTGAAGAACGGTCCATAGTTGGAGGCCTAGTTTGGAAGCATGAGGCGTGTGAGAACATGTCGCTAGGGACGAGGGAAAGTGGTTCGAGAATTCATACAATTTCAAAGGCCGAGAAGAGGATTAAAGGCACACATATCATGTGGATGACTACATTAACGTGATTAGAGTGGTAAGCACCATACTGCAAGCAGGGAGAGAACAAGTTAGCGAGAGGCTCCAGTCTGTGAATTTCGAGCGAGGTGAAGTGGACGAAATCAAGCAAGGGTTGCCCAAGCAGGCCGACTTGGAGCATGTAGATAGAGCTTGGAAATCTCAGGCAACAAAGCTTACAAAGGTGAGTTGCTTTTCTAGGTTGAGGGACATGGTGGAAGTGATGCTTCGGATTTGCCCAGTATGATTAGGTTGGTGCTGTAGACAGCCTTGAGGTTCAGAGTGTGGATGGATGGCGAGATCTCGCTCAGTTCCGTGAGACCCGAGACAGGAGAGCGACAGAGGATGTCAAGACGAGATGCGTCGAGGGCGACCAGTGAAGAGAGGAAATGAATCACTGCCACATGTATATAAACGAGCAACAGGTGGAATTGGTAGTGTTCTAAAAGCAGAGCGTGCAGCTAATGAAGACCAGAGAGCGGCGGGATCTGGTGATGTGGGAGTCTGTCTGGTGTTCCACTCCGCATATCCATCTTCTTATTCTCAGAGGGCTAAAAGCTACGTGTGGATGCCTCGGTTGTGGAGTCGCCATCAACAGGAACAAGGGAACCTGTTAAGGGAGTGGGTAGCTCACCTCACACATGCCCTCGACCTCGGCCCTCAATCGGAACGCCAAGACCACAACAAGGGTACTGCCCCACACTGTAGAAAAAACTCAGCCGAAGCCGGATACCTTAGCAATAAATTTTCGTATTGTATATTCTTTGAATTTTCTTATTGGTGGATATTTATAGAAGTAATCTAAGGTTAAAATAGTATCTAAAATATAGTACAGAACAAATTGATTATTAATTAATTAGGAATATATATATAATAGATTTTCAACTTTTATTATATTTTATAATTATACTCCAATTCGTGTTAGATTAAATATATTAATAATATATTATTAATATATTATAATGGATTTTTGACTTTTATTACATTTTATAATTATATTCTAATTAGTATAAGGTTTAATATATTAAAAATGTATTATTAATATATTATACCAATTTATTCACCTTTATTACATTTTATAGTTATATTCTAATTAGTGTAAGGTTCAATATATTAGAAATATATTATTAATATATTATACCAATTTTTTAACTTTTATTACATTTTATAATTATACTCTAATTAATATAAGGTTCAATATATTAAAAATATATTATTAATATATTAATATATAATATCTCTATATAGTAAATAAATTAATTAAGTAAATAGAAATAAGTAGTAAGATAAGGGTAGTAGTAAAAGATAAGGATAAGATTTTGAAGAGATAAGAGGTAAAGAGAATTTAAAAGGGTTAGTAGTGTAAGGAGGGTATATAAGTAAAATGAATAATAATATTTTCTAATAAGTGTAGTATAGTGGTTAATATGCTAGCTGTTGGTGTTGAGGTTATGGGTTCGATTTACGTTGTAGTTTCTTTTTTTTTTCCTTTTTTATAAGAAATTTAGACTTTTATTATTTTATAGTTATAAATATCTATTAATTAATTATATTACTTTCTTATTTACTTTTTTTCTATTAAAAATATCTAGAATATTATAAAAGAACTTATTATAATATATAAATTGGATTATATAAAAAATAATTAGTAATTATTTAAGAATTTCTATAAAAAGACTTTTCTTTTTTATTTTCACTTACTTTTTATTTAAATTACTTTATATTAGTTCTAAGTATTATATAACGCTTAGAATACTTCATATATCTAGATTTACTATTTAATATATAATTTAATTATTATTTTTCATTTATATAAATATATATAATTTAAAGAAAGTATTTAATTTATACCCTACTTTAATTAATTATTATATTATCTTTATTTATAAGGAAAGTTAGTTAATTAAACCCCAAAAGAGTATCTTATTTATTTTATAGTCTAATTAACTATTATACTACTTATATTTATATAGAAAAAAGTTAAGTAATTTAATTAATATACCTTTAATAAAAATTAATTTTTAATATATTAAGAAGAGATAAAATGAATATTTTATTATATTTTTCAGTTATAGCTAATTTAATATAATTTCAAATATATTATAAATATATTATAAATATATCTGTAAATAGTAAGCGAATATAAGTATTAAAAATAAGAAAACTTAAATTCAATTTTATATATAATATTTTATTACTAATATATAACTTTACTCCTTACTTATATTTTTTTATAAATAAATTTAAAAAAACTTCTTAGGAAATATTATTTTATATAGTTTTAAAGTTTTAAATAATTTATAGTTTATAGAATATAATATTAATAATAATTATAAGAAAGTAAAATAATAAAGTAAAATTAAATTAATATATAATATATTTTTAATATATTATATATTTTTTAAGGTCTTTAAATAAATATAAGCTTTCCTTTTGTTATATTTTAATTATAATATAATATATAAATATTGTAAAAAATAATTAAAATATATTTCTTCTACTTTATATATTGACAACTTTCTTTACAAATATGAATTGCCAAAAACTATTAAATACTAGAAAAACTTTAAATTACATTTTTAATAAATTCAAAATGAGTTTTTGATTATTCTAAAATTGATTTGTAATATGATTGTTGATAAACTATATAAATTCCAAACTAAATTCAAATCTATACTTTATAAAAAAAAGCCTTCTACTATTCTCTTACTTTTAATATTCTTTTACGAGTTGATTTACGGATAGGATAGATCGATGTAGCAGCCTCTTCTTGGGCGGTAGGAAATTAAGAAGAGGGAATGTTGATATTGGTCTATAATTGGTTGTGGATCAATGTAGCCTCTTCCGGAGCAGCCTCTTCCTAAGCAGCCTCTTCCTAAGCAGCCTCTTCCGGAGTAGCCTCTTTCTGGGCGGTAGGAAGTTGAGAAGAGGGAACGTTGATATTGGTCTAGGACTGGTCGTGGATTAATGTAGCCTCTTCTAGAGCAGCCTCTTCCGGAGCAGCCTTTTCCGGAGCAGCCTCTTTTGGAGCAGCCTCTTTTAGAATAGTCGAAAGTTTAGAAGAAATGTTGGTATTAGTTTAGGATTGGTCGTGGATTAATGTAGCCTCTTCCGGAGTAGCCTCTTTTAGAATAGCCGAAAATTTAAAAGAGGGAACGTTGGTATTGGTCTGGGACTGGTTGTGGATTAATATAGCCTCTTCCGGAGTAGCCTCTTCCTAAGTAACTTCTTCCTAAGCAGCCTCTTCTGGAGTAGTTTCTTCTTAGGCGGTAGGAAGTTGAGAAGAGGGAACGTTGATATTGGTTTAAGATTGGTTGTAGATTAATATAGCCTCTTCCGGATTAGCTTCTTCCGGAATAGTTTTTTCTGGAGTAGTCTCTTTTGGAGTAGCCTCTTTTAGAGTAGCCGAAAATTTAGAAGAAATATTAGTATTAGTTTAGGATTGGTCGTAGATTAATATAGCCTCTTCCGGAGCAGCCTCTTCTAGAGTAGTCGAAAATTTAGAAGAGGGAATATTAGTATTGGTTTGGGACTAGTTGTAGATTAATATAGCCTCTTCTAGAGCAGTCTCTTCCTAGGTAGTAGGAAATTAAGAAGAGGGAATGTTGGTATTAATTTAGGACTAGTTGTAGATTAATGTAGCCTCTTCCGGAGTAGCCTCTTTTTGGGCGGTAGGAAATTGAGAAGAGGGAACGTTAATATTAGTTTAGGATTGGTCGTAAATTAATATAGCCTCTTCCGGAGTAGCCTCTTTCTAAGTAGTATTTTCCTAAATAGCTTCTTCCGGAGTAGCCTCTTTTTAGGCGGTAGGAAATTAAAAAGAGGGAACGTTAATATTAGTCTAAGATTAATTGTAGATTAATATAACTTTTTTTGGAGTAGCCTCTTCTTAGGCGGTAGGAAGTTAAGAAGAGGGGATATTAATATCGGTTTATAATTAATTATAGTAAATTTCGCCAGAAAGAGAAATATTGTTACTTATATTAAGACTTATTAATAAATAGTTTGAAATTAATATAATTTTTTATTTAATAGGAGATTTAGGAGTATAAATTTTGAGTTGTAGTTATTTATTATAAGTATTTTCGACTATCTTTTTATATTCTAGGTATAGACTTTTATTTGAGAGGTATTTGGGTATTATTTAGAAAGATTAGTCTTTGATGAGTATAAAATTAATTTTTAATTAATTCGTAATTTACTAGTGGGAGGAAGCTTTTTCGCGTTCTTGGGTACGGGAGAAGGGGAACGCTCTTTATCGTTTGAGGGCGAATTATTTGATATTAGTCCGATGGTAAGTTGGGGTTGATTTTCAATTGGTTTTTGAGAACGTGGAGGTAAATTTTGGTGAATATGACGTTTGGGTGCTAGAATAAAATTAATATAAAATTAATAAAAAAGTAATTTTTAATTAACTTATAATTAATTAGCGGAGGGAAGTTTCTTTCTATTTTGGGGAATAGGAGAAGGAAGTTTTTTCCGGTTCTTAGGTACGGGAGAAGGGGAATGTTCTTTATTGTTTAAGTACGAATTATTTAATACTATTCTAATTAGTTTATAATTAGGAAGAAATTAATTTTTAATTAATTTATAATTAATTAGCGGGAGAGACCTTCTTTCTTTTCTAAGGAACGGGAGAAGGAAGCCTCTTTCTTTTTTGGGGAATAGGAGAAGGAAGTTTTTTTTTCTTTTAGGGAACGGGAGAAGGAAGTTTTTTCCGGTTTTTAGGTACGGGAGAAGAGGAATATTCTTTATTATTTAAATACGAATTATCTAATACTATTCTAATTAATTTATGATTAATAAGAAATTAATTTTTAATTAATTTGTAATTAACTAGCGGGAGAGACCTTCTTTTTTTTTTGGGGAATAGGAGAAGGAAGCCTCTTTTTCTTTTAGGGAACGGGAGAAGGAAGTTTCTTTTTCTTTTAGGGAACGGGAGAAGGAAGTTTTTTCTGGTTTTTAGGTACGGGAGAAGGGGAATACTCTTTATTGTTTAAGTGTGAATTATTTAATATTATTCCGATTAGTTTATAATTAATAAGAAATTAATTTTTAATTAATTTGTAATTAATTAGCGGGAGAGACCTTCTTTCTCTTTTAGGGAATAGGAAAAGGAAGTCTCTTTTTCTTTTAAGGAACGGAAGAAGGAAGCCTCTTTCTCTTTTAGGGAACGGGAAAAGGAAGCTTCTTTCTCTTTTGGGGAATAAGAGAAGGAAGATCTTCAACTTATTTCTAAGGATGTTTAGGTATTAAAATAAAATTAGTTTAGAATTAATATAAAATTAATTTTTAATTAATTTGTAATTTACTAGTAAGAGGAAGCT